GGAGAGTTTGGATGATTAAAAGGTTCCTTTGTTTAGATCATCCTGTACGATTAGTTTAAGTTGATGAATATCATCCAGACCATCACCCTAGGTGGATGTCTAAATGATGAAAAAGTAACTTGATAATCCAGGATAATCTCATGATCATCCGGGATGATTATTTCAAAATTAATGTTACATATCGTCCAGAACATCGCCATGGATGGATGTCTAAATGATGAAAAATTAACTAGATCATCCAGGATGATTAATACTAAACATCACATATCAGTCAGAACATCACCCTAGATGGAGCCAGGCTGATTATAGATTATTCAGGACAAACTAAGGTTTATTAACTGATCATCTCAAACAATCATGAGATTATCTAGGATAATATGATCAAGTAGTCAATCCTTAATTACCAAACTAATTTAGGCATAATTGTAGTCCATCGTCCAGGATGATATCCAAAAATAAAACATGCCTAAAAGGATTTGGCAGTTGATTCTTTTTTATTTGATCCTATCATTTTGTAAGATGATAATATCATTCAGGATGATTTTCTTAACTGTGGCTGCCTTAACCAGGAAGCCCTAATTAAGGTTTATATTTATAATTGATCATCCAGGACGATTTGGGATCATACCGGATGATGTGATCAAAAAAACATATAACACTAAAAATAGATATAATTTTTCCCCCAAGTGTGTGTGTGCAAGTTTACTTAACATCAGGACCCACATTGTAAAAGACACTTAACATACATTATAAGCTGACTTGGTCCTAATCTATCCAATCTTGAGCTCGTTTGATTTGTAATTTAATCTTGTAGACCTAAAACGTTAGTAGGCAAGGTAATTATAAAAAAAATAAAAGTATTAGTAATGTTTGCTATCATCAAAATTATATTTCTTGAAATCAGATTTGTAATAAGACTTTCAATATTAATATTAAACTAAATTTTTTATTTAATTGATTGAGCAGTAAAAATAGCATATTTTTTAGTCTTTTTACTTGCATGTCGATATTTGTTTTAGCATGGATTTAATCGAAGGTTTGAGAGAGTATGTTAAAATTATTTCTATTTTAATTAATAAAAAATTATCATGCACACATAGAAATTTAATAGCTTTAAGAAGTAAGCCCTAGACCGACCTGAGAGTTCACTCTAATAGGGGATACTTTGAGAGGCACATGCTAATCTATATTCAATTCACTTTTGATCACAAAAATGTATCAAGATTTTAAGCTCTTCTTGTGGCCTAGTATAAGGAATGAAGTGGCAGAGTTTGTAGCCAAGTGCTTGGCATCTCATATGGCAAAGGTATAACATTAGCGACTTGGTGGTTTATTGCAACCACATTCTATTCCAGAATGCAAGTGATAGGAGATTTTTATGGCCTTTATGGTTAGCTTGTCGAGATCATAGTAAGGTCTTGATGCAATTTAAGTTATTATTGATAGACTTGCCAAGATAGCTAACTTTCTAATGATCAAATAGAATTACTCTAAGGAAAAGTTAAAAAGGATCTATGTGGATAATATCATTCAACTACACATGATTCCCATCTTCATTGTGTCAAATAGAGATAAAACATTTACTTCAAGATTATGGAAGAAAGTGTCAAGAGCTTTAGGTATGAGGTTGAATTTCAACACTACCTTTCAACCTTAGATTGATGGACAATCAGATCGCAACATTCAGACTTTAGAAAATTTATTGAGATCTTGCATTCATGACTTTGGTGAATGTTTGGAAGACTGCATACCACTTATGAAGTTTGCTTACAATAATAGTTTTCAAGCTAACATAAACATAGCACCTTTTGAGGCTCTTTATATAGGAAGTGCAAGTCTCCATTATTTTTGTTTAAGGTCAAAGAGAGGAAGCTCATAGGACCTCAACTAGTTGATCAAGTTACAGAGAAGATTTATCTAATTTAAGAAAGGCTTCATTTAGTTCAAGAACCTTAGAAAATATATTTTGATCATAAGCACATGATTATTGAATTTGAGGTTGGTGATCACATCTTTCTCAAGGTTTTTCTCATGCGTGGAATTACCAAATTTGGTAAAAGTACAAATTTTTAGCCCTATTTCATTGAACCTTTTAAAGTGATAGAGGGAGTTGAGAGAGTGCATTTAGGCTCTTCCTCTGAGGCTTACAGGAGTGTTAATATCTTTCATGTATGCCTTCTCTGACGGTATATACATGATAGTTCTCACATTATTCATTTCCAGCCTCTATTAATTCAAGAATATTTGAGCTATGAATAAATATAAGATATCATTTTGTAATATGAAGTTTGACAGCTTCATCATTGATCTATTCCCTTTATAAAAGTGCTTTGGAAGAACCAGTCATACCAAGAAGCAACTTGGGAGATTGAAGAAGAGATGATCGTGAAGATCCCTCTACTTTTTCAAAATTAAGGTATGAATTTGGTGACCAGATTCTTTTAAGAGAGATAGTATGTTATAAATTGATCAAAGATCGATTCAATCCAGGACTTTTTTGTGACCCAGCTAACCCTCTCGCTCCCCTCATCACACACCAGTAGTGTCGAACTGAGCAATAGGCCATAAATTTGAGTTGAATCTCACATACACCTCCCTCCAATCATGAAAATCATGGGATTCGTCTATCTTGTGTTACTTTTCATGCTCTACTCCCATCTCTTCTCAATTTAAGAAGGGTTGAATGCCAGGGCATTGCATATTCTTCTTCACTTGCTTCTTTATAGATACCAAACCTCTCTCTCTCCCTCTTCTTCCTCACAACCGCTATTTAATTATTTGGCAAAATCAGCAAGCATCTTCATCAAGTTTTTTTTTTCTCCTTCAATATTAAGCTCCTTCATCTTCTCTTTTCTCCTCCCTCTCTTTTATTTTCTTCTACATGTTTATTAAATTATATATCATATATTTTTCTTTGATCGTGTAACTAATTTTATTAGTGAAGATTCTATTTTAGTTTTAACATTTTTTTATTAGTTAGCTTTCTTTGGGAGGAAGCTTTATTTATATATGATGATTCAAATTAATCTAACCTTATATTATCATTTTAGGTTGGAAGAATGATATTCAATATATTTATATATGTATATTTAATTAAGCTCGGGTTTTGTAAAACTTATTTTTCAAGCATTGATGTCTTTCAACATTATTCTTGTTTATAGGACCTTCTAGTCGTTTCCCTCATAGCGCTAATAGTTAATTATCTTGTTGGCTTGAACTTTCATGTCGCTGGCCTAAAAGGTAAGTAATTATTATTTATTTTGAGATAAACATAACATTCTTTGTTAGTGGTGTTATTCTTATTTCTTGTGCTAGAACTTGGGATATTAGATTGCCAGTCATTTTATTATAGATTCTTTTATTTTACACATGCTCAAAATGAATTAGGAAGATTCATGAATAGATCAATCTTGATTTATTGCTGTATAAACTCATGTACGTATCTTTTTTTATATTTTCATGTATGTGCTCTTATTGAATACAATAAATGATTATGCTAGCAAATCATATCTTAGTATGAAATAACAATTATCATATTAAAATTATAAAACTTATTGAAAAACGATTATGAAGTTTATTTTTAAATTATATGTTTTTGTGCATTGATGTGTATGTTGGTAAAACACTATTGGTTATTAGTTACTCGAGGCTGACGAGGCCCCAGAATGATGACTCTATAAGAAATCATTAGACTTTCTTAGGTTGGTGTTTACCTACCAGTGATGGGTATTTGATAAACTGACTATAATTATATACATTAGATGTTTGATATATATATTTTCCATGAATTGAAAATAATAAATGATTGATAACCCATTTTAAGGTACAAGAATAAATAGTGTGCTGCATTTGTAAGCATTGAAATATTTTAACATCACTAGCTAATTGATATACACACTAGCATATTAGAATTTGTTATAGTAATCCTTTCATATTTCATAGCTACTTTTTTAGTGACTACATGTTACAACTCACACCTTTTGATTGCTCATACTACATGCCCCTATCTTTTGTCATTTATGTTTTGATATATAAAAGTTACTTGTTAAGTTTGATTTATCAAACTCACCCGTTCTATCTTTTTATAACAGGTCCTATAGGTGTGTTTATTGGACTCTTACCATAGGAGCAAAATTATCAACAGTAGACTTTTTTTTCTATTTTATATTTTGTAGTAGTTTTCTATGTTTTTGATTATAAGTGTTGGGTAGTTCCTTTTTTCTCATCCATCCTATTTACATTCATTTTCTTGTATCAATATTAATGTTTGGATGTATTATCTATTTGAATTTTATTAATGAATTAATATTTTAATCTTCACTTTCTAGTGTTACTTTAGTGTATATGTATCATGTTATATCTAGGATATGCATGCTTTTCTTTGTGATTTCAAAATAGGTCTTTATATTCCTTCATCATGTCCAATGTTACTAGGATATACCGTCTTTCCGGTCCCAGGATGTGACATTAACTCCTAATAAAAGCTATTATGTTAAAAACATGTAGCAAAAATTATTGAACTGAGTAAAACTTTTATTAAAAAAATATTTTGTCAAACTCAAGTAAATACATGAGCATTTTACTTGAAAACTTCTTATTTTACCTGAACAATCTCAAGCCACTACATTTGAGCCATTATTTTCATTTTTTATATTATTTATTTTTATAATATTAAAATATCATTTATTTAGGGAATCATAAAAGAGATTAATAATAATGAAATGATTTTAATCTTTTTATTAATTAAATTAGTTGCCATTCATGTTCATCTTATAACTAAAAAAAATAAAACTATAAAAAAATTATATCATAATAATTTATAAAATATCTCCTAATAGACTTCAAAAAATTTATATTTATATTTAAATTAGTATATTTCATAGTATTCAATCTACTAATCGAAACGTAAATTTTAAAATTCAATTTAGTGCATTTTATATCAGCACATCTTAAATTTTATTTCAATTCTATACCATTATTTATATATTACTCATTCTCCCCTAATTTCCATTCAAGGACCGTTCGCTCACCTCTCATCTTCGCTTCCGCCTACAAATCAAAATAACACGTCCTCATTCGTTGCATTCTTCGCTCCCTTCTCTTCTCGAATTTCCTCCTGCGATCTCATTCCTCTGGTAGTATGATGCGAAAAAGATCAAACCACTCGCGGGCGCCGCCTCCTCCGCCGCCGGCTGACTGGGAAGTTCTCCCTGGCGGCATGCTCGTCCAGAAACGCCTAGGCGGAATCTCCCCCGACGCCGCACCGCCAGTCCCAGCTATACGCCTCCGCATCAAACACGGCCTCGCCCACCATGAGATCTATCTCAGCTCCCAATCCACCTTCGGTAGGTGAAATACAATCCTAATGCAATTCCAATTCAAAGAAAACTAATAAAAGATATACATACCCGTCTTCTAATTCCAAATCCAGGGGAAGTGAAGAAGATACTATGGGAAAAAACGGGTTTGCATCCTCAGGAGCAGAGGATTCTTTTCAAAGAAAAGGAGAGAGACTCGTCAGCGTATCTTGACACCGCCGGCGTCAAAGACGGTTCGAGGATGGTGGTCGAGGAAGATCTCACCGCTCGGGCCAAGCGGCTTCTTGAGATGCGCCGTGTTTCCCAAGCTGAGCGGGTGGCAAAGTCACTCGCTGCCGTCGCCGTCGATGTCGACGGGCTGGTATCGAAGGTATCGCTTCCCTGATCAAGAGGCATCCTTTACCTCTTCCTTCCTCCCAATTTGAGGTTTTTTTTTTTTTACTTTTCGTGAATCTTCTTTGTCAAAAATGGAGATTTTAGAAGTGAATTTTGGTAAATCGTCCTAGGTATCGGAGATGGAGACGGCGGTGGGGGCGGGCATGAGTGTGGCAGAGAAGGACGTGGTGGAGTTGATCGAGCTGCTTATGGCGCAGCTTGTAAAGCTCGATGCCATCGCTGTGGAGGAGGGCGAGGCCAAGAGGAAGAGAGGAATTCAGGTTTGTTCGGCCCTCGGCATTCAAATCCGTCCGTTGTTGCTTGCTTATTATCTGCATTTGGTTCTTCAACTTATTGGGAACTATTTTACACACCTAAGAAAAAATTCTGAAAAATATTTAAATTTGATTAGATGACTCAATCAAAAAAGTTTTTTTTTTCCACGTAAGAGTGAAAGATACTCTTTTAAATTTAATTAATTCATCTGAAAATGAGATTCAAAATTAATTTTATAAATTTTCAAAATATTTTTTATATTTTTTCTCAAAAAAAAAATTACATTGTAGAATTTTCACTTTCTAGTAACTAAGTAAAGCATTATAAGTTTTTAACAATTATAATCAATCAGTCCGCTTGTATCAGTGTTCAAAATAAATTTTTAATAAACAGTCACAACTTCAACGCTTCAAATGAAATTCCTAACATTATTTAACTGATTTTGACATAAATCTTGTGCAGGTCAGGAGAGTGCAGAGGAATGTGGAGAAACTGGACCAGATCAAGCTGAAGAACTCAGAGCCTATGCATTCTTCTTCTCCTTATCTGCAGAAACAACAACAGAGGCAGCAGGTTGTGGTAACAACCAAGTGGGAGATGTTCGACGCAGTCGCCGCACCGGGGATGGCAGCCTCCACGGTGCCTGCAGGATCACGGATTGAATGGCAGTTGCTTTGATTGATGAATTCGATTGTAAAATTTGATTTGATTCCCTATTTGTGTGCCAAGTATGAAAGATTGAAATAGCTTCTATTTGAATACTTTTTTGATACTGTGTGTATAGGCCTCAGGGGCCAGTCTACATTGAATGAGATGAAAAGAAAAATAAATTGGAAACTTTTCACTTTAGTTTCCTTATGCATTTTTGTCATGTTATTCTGACGGTTCGTAGTAGTCTTGCGATAGTAAAGCAGATATAGCAGTGGAAGGCAGCTCACTTTTTATTTTTATTATTATTATTTTTTTTATGCATTTAAATCAATTAAGATAAATTCACATACAACCCATCTACAAGACTCTAACTCAATGCCTCTTAGTTAGTAGCCAAAACACTCAACAAACGAACCAAAGAGAATATGTGCTCGACAATTTCCCACTGTTTCGAAGGTTAAAATGACGAAAATACCCAATTTGCGTGAGAGGATATGTGCTCCGGCTCGATCATTTTCGCAATTCCCACACATCTCCACTATCGTAGCTCTCTTCAGGCCAATCTCCCATTCCCACGCTGAAGCTTCCGGAGATAGCTCGTCTCAGCTATCGGAGATCGCTCGTCACTTTGATTCCCATTCACGTCTCAGCTATCGCATCTCTTCTTACGATAATCTACCCAGGCTACATCCTCCACTCTTACACTTGGTTGATCAGAGGTCCCTCGTTAGCTTAGTAGCAAATTTTGAATAGGTATAGCTCTTACCCTTGGTTGATTGGATGCCTTCTTCAATATGACGTGCTTTCGATTGCAGGGATTAATCTAATCATTTTTTCACTTAGCTGCGTTCGATTGTCGGGATTTTCATCTATTTTTAACGAGTACAATGAAATTATTTTTGATACAACTTCAGAATTTTGAGTACAAATTTTTAGGAGTCGATCATGCTTGATGCATTTTATTTGTACTTTTTTGAATGCAAAGAAACATAGATTATGTATTTTGAGACATGATCAGTATGTAGCTTAGCTAATTTAAATGCTCATTTCTCTTGCTCTTTTTACCTTTGTACGACATATCTTTTTGAAGCTCAGTTAAATGGCAAATTATTAGGTCCGGACATCCACTAAAAATTTGCCTAGTGGAATGTACATGTGTCCGCGGAAATTTAAGTCAAGCGCGTCAAAAGCGCACCTAAAGCGCAGTCAAAGCGCAATCCACGTGGCAAGTTTTCATTTGATATCCGGATCTATTTTTAGGTTCGGTGATCGGACCTAATAATTTGCCCAGTTAAACAGCAGGTTTTGATCCAAAACCGAACTGTATAAGCAAGTAGTAGGAAAGATTACTAGCTCCTTAATCAGCAGGAAGGATTTTGCAAAGCATAACAGAAAGTAGAGCCACAAACAACAAATGTGGGAGCTCCTTCAGCCATCGGTTGTGTTGTCTATTTATGCTTTAACTTCGATGATATCATAGCAAATAGTTTCGTATATAAAACTATGGGATTATATGACATTATAAATGTTCTCTCATTTAGGCAATAAATGAGTTTAACGGAATTGAATTTGTCCTAAAGGATTATAATTAATTCAAAATGCCTATGTTGCCTTTATATATAATCCAATTTTTTTAATGTTTTGTTCTTATTTTTGTATTTATATAGCCTCAAATATAAATTCTGCAGTAATCTTGCTTCTGAATTGAATTCGATGCATTTGATTTCGGACGTCCTATATTAGTTTCTGAATTATGCCTCTCTTATCATTTCATTTGTACTCAACCTCATGTTCTGATATGCTTGCGAACAACAATACCCAATTAAGAAATTAAATGGATAAATCAAAGGACAGTGGAGCATCTGCAACATGGCACCAAGATGTGAAGATGTTATTTTGTGATTTATGTATAAAGATATTAAACTTGGAAATCGACAGACAACTCAATTCAATAAAGAGGGTTGGTTGAATTAAATTAAGAATTTTAATGAGAACATAGGAAGAGAGTTTGATAAAGTGCAGCTTATAAATAAATGGACCAACAAAAGAAAGATTGGAAATTATGGAAGGATCTAAAGCATGGGTCGACTTGATTGGGTTGAGATCCTAGGATAAAGACCATTGATGCATCCGATGAATGGTGGAAAGAAAAACTATATGTGAATGTTGATTGCATACAATATTATATATTTGGCTTTTTTGAACTGCATATTATAATTTTTAGTTTTATTAAATGAATTTTGCTTTATAGGTTGTGTCAAATGCCAAAAAATTTAGATATTATGGCTTTAATCCCAAACTTGAACATAAGCCTGCTTTGATGTTCATGGGTGCAGTTGCAACTGGTGTTCATGCTTTGACTCCCAACGAAGGTATTGACCATGAAAATTTTCGTGAAGATTATGAATAACTTGATAATATTATTGACTCTTTTGAAGATCCTTCACAAAGTTTCAACAATATTAGTGAGTGTAGCCAGTTGAAATGACCATCCTCTATAACTTCAACTGGTAATAAAAAAAAATTGATATAGATTTCTACGAAGTCAAATTACTCAGCTTATCAATTCATGCACAAACATCAACTCTAGAACTAATGCATCACAATCAATAATTAAGGCACCATTGCTTTCTGTTGCCATTAAAGATTTTGAACAAATAATAGAAGCATTTGAAGACATGCCACTTTATTTGTTCTCCACAAAGCTTCTTGAGTATCTAATTAAGCGAGAAATTTTTAAGACAATTTGTCCAGATCGAAGAGTTCATTATCTTCGTTATTGCAACGAAATCATGATAAAACAACAACATAGTTTCATAGGATCGTTATAATCAATATTTTTGTTGTGATTTTTGTATAAGTCTATATCTAAAAATACATATGATAGTTATAGTGTCTTCAAATTTGTATTTATATTTGGAAGTTGGAATATTTCGTAGTTGTTAGCTATACACATAATTATAAGTCTGTATCCTGTTTATTACAATGTCTTCAAATTAATCATGTATTCAGTTTATTACAGTGCATTTAATTTTGATTCAAGAAGAAGATCTGTATTATATTTTTTTTTTAATCTCTGTTCATGACAATCTGTATCTATGTTAGTGAAGCAAGAAAGCTTTTTCTAACTGTAATATGAACGAAATTGCTCCAGCAACATGCTGCTTCCATTTTGCCAGTGTAAGCTTTTTATTGTTGGGATATTCTGTATTTTCTCACCTATTAAGGATGGCCAGATTATTCTCACCAGAAATCAATTCGACCAATATATTCATTAGATATAATCATTTTGCATTGATTTGCCCAGATTTACAGGTTTATGAACTTCATCTTGCTTGGCTTGACTTATTTATTCGTAAACAACACTATTTGTGAAATAGATAATTTTTCATTAACGAATACATTATTGGTGTTCCTCTATATTAGATGATAATGAATGTTTGTCTGCTGTGAATATAATTTTTATAAAAAATAGTTTTGCTCCTTTCTGATTTCCTTTTGTAATGTGAGTTCTTGTTGCAAGGTAGTCTACAGACTAATCTATTATGATCAGCATTTATTTATGACCAGAGGTAGTCTTCATGTATTACTATAATCCTATCGTATGATACTTCACTGAATTCGTATTTCTTTGTAATCAAATTGTAACAACTTTTGTAACATGGTAACTAATTTTCATACAAAAGTTTTCAAATGTCTTGTTAGAAATCTAAGTGCATGGCCTGCTGTTTTTGCATCAATTTAGTGTTTTCTGGCACATAAAAGAATCACTCATGGCATGGTTTTGTTCCTCATTGTTGAAGTTGATTCTTTCTTGTGCAATCCATTAATTAATTCTTACGGCACATAGTCAATACAGAAGCACATATCACATGTTCTCGAGTTTTTACTTTGTATGTATTTGGTGTTGCTAGTTTGTAGTGTTCAATATTTGACTCATATTTTTATTTTGCAATCAAAAATTACAAGTTTAGATACAAACAATAAAATAATTCTTACCGTTATCTATAATCATGAATGTAATGTAATGGAAATACAAGTGAGTCACCCGATATTGCAAAACACAAAAAAGTTATACTTGCAACTATATGTCTTATAAATGAGTATTATGAAACATACATTTACAATACTTCGTGCAAGACCTCGTCGTATAGAGGAGACAGATGGATTGGAGATTTACTACAAGGTCATCCAATGTGATTTCATAATATGTTTTGTACGTCTCAAATAACTTTTTTAGATCTTACGTATGACTTGGAAAGTCTTCATGGTCAACATAGATCATTAAGGACAATAACTAGAGAAGTACTTACGATCACCTTATATATTTTATCGCACAATGAATTAATAAGGTTAGCATGTGAGAAATTTCAACACTCAACTGAGACTATTAGTAGGTATTTCTCTTTTGGATTGGAGGCTTTAGTGAAATTATCAAGCCTATAGATCCTAGTTTTAAAAATACCCCAAGAAAGATTTTGTGTGACGATTAATATATGTCATATTTCAAGGTAAATGTTATTACTATGATCTTATGATTTATAAATATTTATGGAATATCTAAACATCTATTCTCAATTAGGATTGCATAGGAGCTATCGATGAAACGCATGTGGATGCTCGTGTTTCAACTGTTGAAAAGGTGGCTTATATAGAATGATATGGTTCAATGACGTAAAATGTTATGGAAGTTTGTGATATCAACATGTGTTTTACTTTTGTAATGTCAGGATAGGAGAGTAGTGCACATGATAGCCACATTTTTAAATTTGTTATACGCGATCAACAATATTAATTTTGCTATGCCAACACTAAGTATGTATTTCTCTATTGTAATCAACCACCATACTTATTTTTTAACTAAATAATGCCACCATTAATTGGTTAGGTGGCCTGCTAGAACCATCATATGGGGAGGTGCCTAACAAAAAAAGGAAGATTCAAAATGTATGTATGAGACCCTCGAAGAGTCCGAGCTTGCTTCTTAAAATCGTTAGAGTTTTTCTGTTAGCTTAAATTTTTTAATTTAATTTAAGTAAAAAAAGTTTTTAACATTCTCTCACGAGCCTCTAATCGTATCCAGTCTAAAATAAAGATTGTCATGTAAGTAAAAAGACTAAAAAGTATGTCATTTCTACTGCACAATCAACTAAATTTAATATTCAAATTGAAAGTCCATATAGCAAGTGTCACTTAAT